ACATTACGTTACCCTGACCCAGACCCCGACCCTTGTCGCGCCCCCTTCCCTTTTTGGTTATATTGCCCGACCCTGACCTAGACTCAGGACCCTGTCCCGCCTTTATCCCCTTTCGGTTATATCATAGGACCCTGACCTAGGTCTTGTACTATACGGGGCCCAGCCTCGACCAGACGCGTTCCTTTGCAGTCTCCTCATACCTCCCCACTTTGGTCGGTTACCTTTCCCTTCCTAATACGGTCGGTACCTTCTAGTATATAAGGAGGCCTGTAGTCGGTAGAGGCTCCCCACTTCTGTTCTCCTCTTTGTTACCTCCTGTATCCCTATATCCCTCAATCTAGGGACTTGTGCGATACTCTCTCCCCCGTGTGCTACACCGCGTACTTGGATAAGTCCGCGTGATAAGTCTGGATAGACTTGTGTTAGTACTTCAGCGTAACAGATTCTGAATCTGAAGACAGTCAGTCAACGCACTCCCTCTTGGACACGCCAGACATGGCCTACACGCAGCCAACTCCCGCAGACACCTCCGACGTAACCCGCACCCATGACGGCCGAGACAGTAGTCTCAACAACAAGCCTCGCTATCAGCCCCCACCTACTCAGGCCAATGCCCAAGCAGCATACAACGACCTTACCGTGCTGCTTCAGCCCCGAGATAGCTCCAGAAAGCGCCGCATTCCCTTCAAGAGTGGTGACATCTTGCAAGAACGAATGTTCGCAATGAAGTCCATGCTCTGGGGATATGTGAATGGTGCTGGGTGGCGTCAGGCATCATACATGGCTGCACAGATGGAGGGGAAGGGGCTCACAGGCAAGGGCGACTATCGGGCTCGGAAACTCCGTCAATGGTGCCATGCGTTCATTGCCGATCGACACGATCTCCCCGTGAACTTCAAGGCGACCTGGAACTCATCTGCTCTGGAAAACGAGGAGTTAGAAGGTGCACTTTCTGACCATCTTCAGCGCATCGGAAAGCACGTACGTGCCTTGGACATCGTGGAGTATCTCGCCGACCCTGCTGTTCAGCAGCGCTTTGGCCTTACGGAAACCCTTTCCCTGTCGACGGCTCATGGCTGGATGCTCCGGCTTGGCTATCGCTGGGGGAGGGTGGCAAATGGACAGTACATCGATGGACACGAACGAGAGGATGTTGTACATTACCGTCAGAATGTGTACCTCCCCACCCTCAATGCCCTCCGTCCACAGCTGCGACAGTACGATGCCCATGGAAACGAGGTCACGAACCCGATGCAATCGCTGCCTGAAGACTCCGCTGCTACAGCTTCCACCGGTCCTCCATCTCCGTCCGATGCCACTCAATCATCTTGCTCCATCGCTGCTGCTGCTGCTGCTGCTGCTGTTGCTGCTCCGAGTGCACACTCTGCCCGGCTATGCTTCTACGATGAGTCGATCTTCTATGCAAATGACCGCCGCACGATTCGCTGGAAGAATGTGAGGGAGAAGTCGGTACCGCAGGCCAAGGGAGAGGGGGTCTCGATGATGATCTCAGACTTCTTCACGGCGGAGGATGGCTGGCTGCAATCCCGTGACGGTGAGACGCACGCATGCATTGTCATCCGTCCTGGCGCTAGACGTGACGGCTACTTTACCTCGGACAATGTCCTCATGCAGTTCAAGCACGCAGCCCGCATCGCACGCGAGAACTGGCCTGATGAAGATATCTACTTCATTGTCGACAATGCCCCTACCCATACCAAACGCGCCCCTGATGCTCTCTCTGCTCGGAAGATGACCAAGGGCCCATCACGCAACTTCGGTGTCGATATCCCCCTCCTGGACAAGAATGGCAACCCTGTCATTGGTGGTCCCAAGAACAGACCAATGAAGACAAAAATCCCCATGGCCAATGCGACATTTCCTGACGGCACTCCACAACCTCTGTATTACCCCAACGACCACCAGGATCCTGAGCTTCGCGGCGCCTTCAAAGGCATTGTACGTCTCTTAGATGAACGTGGCATCTCTGGCTCGAACCAACTCCCTCTCGAGTGCCCGCACTTTCGCTGCCCTTCACCCCCTTCGGATGTCCTTCCAGTCGACCATTACCTCCAGAACCCATGCTGCTGCCGCCGGCTCCTTTACGAACAGCCTGACTTCCGCAGTGTCAAGAGCTTGCTCAAGCTCGAAATGGAGGCTTGCGGCGTCCATGTCCTTTTCCTCCCGAAATTTCACTGCGAGCTCAACCCGATTGAACAGTGCTGGGGCTATGCGAAGAATATCTACAGACGCTTTCCAGACTCAACAAAGGAGGCCGACCTCGAGAAGAACATGCTTGCTGCTGTCCATGCTGTACCTCTTGCTTGCATGCGCCGGTGAGTCCCTACTTCCTTTCCCCTGCTCGGAACTGAACTTGATATGTCTATCTAAGGTTCTCTACTCGAGCACTCCGCTTTGCGGACGCGTACACGAAGGGTCTCAACGGCAAGCAGGCAGCGTGGGCAAGCAGGAAATACAAGAGCCATCGGGTGATTCCCGAGACCATTTTTGAGGAGCTCACGAAGGCGGGTATCTTAGATGAGTCGTTCTAAACCCTTTCACTCCTTTATAATGCTATTCCGTACTCCATGCTCGTATCGTACCCCCAACTATTGAGCAAATCACTCCTTCTGTCGCCGGATTGATGCACCTGCAGGTGAGTCCAAAGACGTGCTTAGAATGCGGACACGACACAGTCCCTCGTCGTCGATCATAGGGGCGATGTCAGCAAATGCGCAGACGCAACCAATGGATGGTCTCAGTCAATTCGACGGAGGGTACAAAGTTGTTAATGAACAGCCCCGTCGGGATGGAGGACACGAATATCCTACTCAAGATTGACAGAACGGATACCCCACTTGCGTCTTCCGACTCCAAGCCTGACAGTGTCCTCTTCTCGTGCTACTACGACTCCGTCTCAACTGCGCCTGGCGCTGCGGATGATGGTGTGGGTGTTGCGACGCTGCTCGAAATCGCACCATACGGTGAGCACTGTCACGGACGTTGGACAGACGCCCCTTTTTGCCGCCCATTCCCCTCCCTTTGACGCCCACCTTCCATTCGCGGACCATTTCCTTTTCTAGCCCATCCCAATTTGGACACTGTAGATACGTTCCCACAGCCGCATGCTACGTTCCCGTGATCGCCATGCCCTTGCCTTTCTTTCTCGCCCTTTGTTCTCTCTTTGTCATCTTCACTGCCTCGCTCTCGCGCCTTGTCCTTGGTTGCTAAGCAGCCCCTCTAGTATATAAGGACCCCCTTAGGCGCTCTCTAGTCCCCATCTCGACCTCTTGGTCATTGGGACTAGGTGAGTGACCATAGTGTTGTATCTCTCTTCGAGTGCTAATGTATAACTTGGTCATTGGGACTAGTCTGTCGCTGTCTGCGTGAAGACTAGCTTTTGTAGGTCTCGTGCCTTCATGCCGGCCTCCGCTCTGCCCCGTCGAGTTTCTTGTCATGTT